GCAGCCTCGCAGCCGCCGCGACCGGGGGGAGCTGAGGTCCAGGCACAGGCTGTGCATTTTGCAGGCCACATTGCTGGATGAACATGCAGATGCAATGAGAGGCAGCGCTGGGAAGGCAGGGACTGACCACTCCTCAGCTGAGTGCCCTAACCCCTCAGCTACATAAGCACCCTTTTCCTGTTGATTTGCCATTTCTTGCAGATTTCACTTTTTTTTTTTATGGGGTGCAGATTTAGTGGGAAAAAAGGTCCTGTCTCTTTCCAGCCTGCCCTCTAGCCTAAGACGAACTCCTGAGAGCTGTAGGACTGAACACTCCAAGAGGGATATCTCACTTTTCTTAGGAAAAAAATATGTCCTAGTCTCTAGGACTTGCATAAAGGGTGGGCAATGGCACTGTCATCACTGTCTTCTTAAAGGAAGGAGTTTCCCTCTGTCCTTCCAGAAGACATCTACATAGGCTTCCCCTGGGAGGAGTGCAGTCTCTAAACCTCAGACGGACAGGCCACCTTCCTCCAGGCACAACATATAGTACCTTATAGGGAGCTGTAGGGAGTGGCCACTCCTCAGCAAGTTCTAACACAGGAAGCTGCTATAATGAAACTCAATACACAAAGAAGAGGCAGGTGATTTTTTTAAGAAAAACTGATTTCAGTAACTCTCACTCAGTCTTGGATAGACATCACCCATTCTTACAACCAAAAAGCGCTTGTCCACATGATCTGGCCAGAGTTGCTGTATGCAACACAGAGCGCAAGGGACATCAGCTAGCAAGTCCTAAAATCATCTCTTGTCTTCTGCTTCTTTAGCATCAGTGAATTGTTTTTGGTCAGATTCTTTATACCCTTTATGCCCAGCAGTTAGCATGGGTGCTCTCACCTCAGCGCTTTATACCCTTTATGCCCAGCAGTTAGTTAGCATGGGTGCTCTCACCTCAGCATCTTGCTTACTAACCCTGTATATGTCCTAGGAAGGCTGCTGCCCGTTGTCTCTGTTCCCCCGTTTTGGCTACCTTATCTAAGTGTTCCTGACGGAATAACAGGAAGCATAATGGCACATCCACGGGATAACCTTACTGTTGTTATCCTGTTATCAGGGAATGAGACTTCTAGTGACAAGCCATCTGTGCTATGTGCTTATCAGAGCACAGACCTTCTGGTCCCGATGCAAGCAGTGCATCCCTTGGTGTTTACCCATTTCTTTGCTGTCAGTTGTATCTTTTGTTATCAGTGCAGGCCATTCCTTGCTCTAGTGTTCCTTCTGGCATTTTCATCCATTTCCATCCAACTAATCACGATATTGCTATTGCAAATCTCTATAGTTACTTCTAGCAGAAGCAGAATTATTATTAAATATCACTTGAACACTCCCTGACTATTTTAAGTCTAAATCAGCCAGGCTAGCTCCAACTGCTAAAAACAAGCTTGTTCACCATTAGGGATGTTTTACGTCAGTGTAGATAAATGGCTCCCTAAAAAAATACAGGTTATGAACTTGTCAAGGTGAGCTAGCTCCAGCTCTAGCAGTGTGAGCAACCTGAAGGCTGCCTTCCAGTTCTGGACATTCACGACGCGCCTGAGGCTCAGCTGCAGGGCAGTGGGCAGGAACGTGAAGGGCTGCAGGGATTGTGTGTGCACGTCAGAGCATCAAAGTAATGGGCAAGAACACACCAAAAGGAGAAGAGAAGAGACAGAAAGGCAAGTTTCTGGGCTGTGCCCCAGCTGCAGTATTTTTCCCCAGCTTTGCTACAGAGACCTGAAATGCCCAAGGAATCAGCAAGAGAGATTTTACTCCTTAGAAAAGAAATTGCTGAAACTTTATTGTTAGTAACAAAAACACAGCCTTACACGGTGGATGGAGAACTTCCTTTCCTCCTTCCTCCTCCTTCCTGGCATTCTCCCCATGTCAGAAAGAGTATTACAAAGATTATTAGATATGCACAAAAGATTAAGCACTGTGTATGTTAGCTTTAAGGAGAAAGACAGAGACTTGAAAGCTGATACCAAGTATGGACAATTCCACCTCCCATCTTTAGCTTAATGCTAGAGGAAGCCCATGAGAGAAACAAGTGAACTCTTCAGCAGTGCTATATAGCGTTCCAAAAATTAAATACTGCCTTTTAGCATGTACCACTGGAGAATTCTGGAGCACTTGGTGCTTTTTAGCTCAGTGATAAACAATTGCCTCAAAAACATGCTACAGAAAGGGCGATTTCCCACCCAGTTCCTCAGAGGGAAAAGCTGAGATATGGTGCACTGAAAGAAGCTGCACATGCGCTGCACTGCGCACATGCTCCACAGTGACAGCTACAGACTTCAACCCTGATCCACAGAGCTGTGCCAGCAAGACTCCTCTTCCCTCTGCACACGGCAATGACCTGAAGCTGTCATTATTCCAAAATTCTAGGTATTACTGAAATACAATTCCCATCTCACTATCCAGAGGTGAGACTATTTGAACAGCCTATCTAGACTCCCTGGTTAACATCAAAAGACAAGACTCAAGGTCAGCAACTTCCACTCAGTGTTATTAAGCTTCAGGAAAGCTCGGGGAGCTGAAAGAGTTTTCAGGGTAGACAAAGCACCACTTCTCAATGCTCTTCAGGCAAAAAAAGTGTTTCAGCTTTCAGTGACTTAACCTGAGCCTCCCTTCTCACCAACAGTTTCTTCTGATTTTCCTGTGGTAAATCAGAAGGCTGCAAATTCGCACGTATTAGGTCATGATTAACTCAACTCCCCCGTGATGCTGCCTCCCAATGAAGCAACCACGAAGGGCACACACACTGTGCAGATGAAGATACCATTCTGGTCAGCCTGAGGCCATCAGAAGCGCACTGCTCACTGCGTACAGGCAGCTCAGGTTCAGCACCCCGCGCTGCAGAACGCCTGAGGTGTTGTCTGACACACAGCAAGACTGAGCCAGTCTGGAGGCTACGCGAACGGTGAAGCCAGGAAGGTTTCACCCTGCTTGCCCTGCGGCCCAACTCTGCTCACTGCACCAAGTGCCACAGGGCTGTGTGTGACCAGCTCCCTCCCACACCTCCCCCAGACACTGAGGCTGGCAGAGCCACCCTTCTCTCACCTGTCTGAAGGACAGAGTGAACCTCTGGGTACAATGATTTTCCTCTGTGGTTCAGGGTCAGGGAGGTTGATCAGCCTGCTAGCAATTAACGCTAATGTTAAGTGTGCCTGCCCACTGTCACACCTTTACTCACAGCGGCCAGGGTTTTATAGGTCAGAACTAACCCCCTTGGACTTTTTTTCATGGATATTTGGCAACTACTACACACCACAGAGCAAATCTATAACTCACTTTCAGAAGGATGCACCACTGATTCTGTCGCTGGAATATACTGGTGTTCAGGATTTATTTGAAACATAAAATTATTTAATTAACTGAGGTATGTCAGGGTCATGGAGTGATGCTTATGTACAAACTTGGTGACAGTGAGGGATGTACTGGAGCAATCAAACTCCCAAATTGTTCCCAAATCGTTGCGAAGAAAGTGACAATGACGAAACCTTGAGCAGATGTGACAGTCTGGAGCAGACTACAACTGTGGGCCATTACTCATGAGAATGAAGCCTGTACACACACAAAGAATGATTTCTCACAGACTTATGCCTTGCTGTCAAAAAAAAGGCTGCAAAGAAAGTCAGTTATGTCTGAAGTGTCCACTAGGAGATGTTCAGTCAGCGTGGATTGGATCCAGAATTGCTGGTACTACCTCAAACAATCTCCCCGCAAAAAGGCAGGATACAACCAGGGTAACAGGCATCTCCCCACCTGAAACCAGGCCAAGGATCAAAAGTCTGAGTGCACAAGAAGGGAAGGAAAATCCTCAAATCTTAAGTCACCTGTGGAGTCAGACATACTTTGCCAAGGACAAGGCTCATACCCCTGTGTCCTTCTTATATTTATCTGTAGTCTCCTAACTGCTACAGGAGAAACCAAAATAGAAAAGGTGGTATTCAGCCAAAGACATCTGTTTTATTCACATGGTTTTGTCCTTTTTTTTTTTTTTTTTGACTAAAGGCTTTCCATTCATTCTGCTACTTACCAGGGATAGAAATGATCTGTATTTTCCTATTGGCTGGAGTTTTATTTACCACATATTTCTTAAATTATTACTTTTCTCCCCTCTTATACAGATCTAAAACTTTTACCAGGTAGTCAGCCAACACAGTTTTGGTCCTGGAGCACTTGCAGAGCTGCAGACTGTGAGCTTTGCACAGAGGGCAGAAGATCCCAAAAGGCAGCAAGCACCCAAACTGTGCCCCCATCAGCCCTTTGCCCACATTCACACGGGGCAGGACACCGCTGAGTGCCTATGCACTCCTCCTGCAGTCTGGACATGATGTCACCAGGCAAATGTCCTGTCTTAGGTGAACATCTGGCATTGCTCATTCCCCTCCGCCGCGTATGACCGCGCAGTGCCGGGCTGCGAGGAGGCGCCCCGCGGACAGCAGCACCACGTCTGCTGTTCACTAGAGGATTAACTGATTTCAGCCAAAATCCTCTTCTCAACTGAGAAGCAGCAAAGCAGGCAGATCTTAGGAAACAAAACCTCAGCCTCTTTTCTGATATACAAAAAAAGGAAATAAAACTCCTAAGAACTTGATCACTGCAGAAATCCAGACCATGCACTGTTAGACAAAGCATCCTTCACCTCACCCATGGCTAGCTCTTTGACAGCAGACATGAAGGACGTTCATAAAGAAGGAGCAGCAGGTTCAAAAGTACTCAATCTTGCTTTAAAAGGTGCAAAACAGGGACCATCAGTTGTCTAAGAAACCTGAGCATGAGCCTTTACCCATTAAAAAGATTTAATGGGTAAAGATCAGTGTTTTTCTCCACTCTCTAAACAGTTAGACATTTTGGTTGCAGAGGCAGGCTCTCATCTTCAGTCTTGACCTGGAAAGAAAGAGCTGCCCTTTTCATCTCTGCCTGGGAGCCCAGGGCTCCTGTCGGTATCGCACACAGGGTACGGAAACGGTTCTTACATTTTGCATGGCGTCCTGATACTGCGGCAGTGATGACAGCTGTGACTCAGAGTGGTACGGGGATAACCCTTTCCTGAGAGTCCTCAGCTCCCCGGTGCTGGACTGCTGCAAAGAGAGAGACAGAAAACAGAACAGTCCATATTAACAAGGAGGAAAGTTATGCCCATTCTGCTTAAAACACTGTATTAGCTTGTCCCGTGACCACCTCTGTACTATGATCCCTTCCCATAATAACTTCATCCTACAACAGCAGCTAAAGTGGTCATAGCATTAAAATGCTTTTCCTCTTCCTTAATACCTATAAAGAAAACACTTGCAAGCAGTTAAGAGATGTAATTGTCAAGATATACTCCATTAAATCATACCGTGAGAATACATGTTTGTTTTACTTAAGTTCAACAAGTCAATTAAAAATATTTGTTAACATGCAAATGGTAACATTATTTTTAAGACTCCACGTAAAAATAAAATCAGGAAAAGAGACTAGGAGACACTTTCTAAATCAATATTGGCTTTTCTGATCACAGGCATGCAGAAATAAGGAAGAATTTATAAGCACTTCTTCTGTCATTCACTTAAGCTTGCAAAATGTGTGTAAAAGTAACAGTTTCTTACTGGCTTATAAATTTTCATCCACTCATATGTTCTAAACAAAGTCATATAGATAACTGTAATCTATACAACTCTACAAACCACACTGATAAAAGTAATCAATTGTCTGCATGCAAAGGAACACAACCACTTTGGCCTGAATAATCTTGTCAGGATAAAGTTTCTGCCCTGCATTATTAGTTCTCTCACTCTGTGATTCTGAGATAGTCCAGAAGAGATTTTCATTTATAATAGTACATCCATAAAAAAAGAC